TAGAATTATTTAAAATCTTTAATCAGAAGAAATTATGTTATGACCTTCTTGCTAAAATGAAATTCAGAAAGTTTGAAGTTCTAATTTTAAACTTCTAACTCGTTTAAAAAAAAAAAAAAAATCTTGCGGACAGATAAACATACAGACAACACGAAACATTAAGCGAATTTCTCGATAAATTACTAAAACATATTTAAAAATACCTGCAAAATAGATACAGTTTGGTTAAAATGATGATGCTCCAAGGTGGAAGTAGTGTAGATTGCAGCTAGAGGTGATGCCGAATTCACTAAGAATTGATTAGTTTTTCCTCTATGATCCAAATCGTGGCATAAACAGGCAACGAACAGAGATAATTCCTACAACATACCAAAAAATATTACGAAAAACATGTAATTGTGACTTTAAAATAAAGTTATTTATCAAACCTCCAATGGTCTAAAAGTGTTTCTGGCTTTCTTGATGACAACGTAAATTGCGTTAGCCACACAAAAACCATGGGTCCAATTGTGATAAGGAACCCTTCGATAATTCTTCTTCACTGTTAATGTGAATCTAATTAGGCAATCTAAATCGAATCTAGAAAATAAATTAACATTCATTTAACACTAAGAATCATCATTAAATTAAGAATTATTCATCAAAAACTATTGTAATTTTCATGAATTTTAATTAATTTTATTGTGTCTGAAAGGTCAATTTTTGATATTTTTAGAAGAATANAGTCGAATCTAGAAAATAAATTAACATTCATTTAACACTAAGAATCATCATTAAATTAAGAATTATTCATCAAAAACTATTGTAATTTTCATGAATTTTAATTAATTTTATTGTGTCTGAAAGGTCAATTTTTGATATTTTTAGAAGAATAAAGATGTTTTTAAGCAAATAAAATTAAAAATTTTTAATATTAGATTTAAATTAAAGATACTTTAATAGTTATTGACAACTCTAGCTATACAAAATATTCAATATGAAGGTTTTTGTACAATTTTACAACTTTTAACTGAAAAGAAATACAACATTTATAAATAAAATTAATTTTTATTAAGCAAAAACTTATTTTAAATGAAATTTATCCTTTGCTGCTGAAATTCAAGATGTCGAATAATCAATTTATTACATTTCTTCAAATCAATGTATGAAGAAACGAGTCCTTCTTCATACATTGTATACGATGAACTACGGGGAAATATGTCCGTTTGAAATAAAATTGAACGCACTGGGAATAAGAAACAAATAAAAAAAAAAAGTCGAATGTAATCTTTCTCAATACTGCAATCAGTCTCCATCTCTCCTTTTTCAACTTTTCAATTGCTTCTAATATTAGACTTCTAAGAGGGTAGAATTTCTCTATCTTGCACTAAAATGGTACTAAATTACCAAAAATTCTGTACAATATTCCTATAATTTCTCTTGAAAACCCCTCGTAACAGAATTTAATTACGGCATTTTACAAAATTCGACTTTAAAAAAAATCCAGCAAAGAACTGCCTAACTTTCCTGGCAATAAAGTTAAAATTGTGTGTGCCGCCATCTGTTATGATATTTTATTAAAAATCCTAATGATATTTTAGTTTCACGAGCTAATTCTTATACACGATTCCCAAAATATGGGCTAAAACTATATATAATATGAAAAATATAAGCAGAAAATCCATTCAAAGATTACGACTCAAGATGCGGATATAAGCACTCGCATCCCTCACAAACACGTACATTTCTTTAATTAATTTAATTAAATATTAATTAAAATAAAATATATTGTAATTATAAACTTAATCGAGTTCTAAATTTATGAATTAAATTGCCAATTTACTCACTTATGCAAACCAAAAAGGTCGCTAAACATATGAATCGTGGAAGTCACCTTTTCATCAGCGCTAAGGTTATAGGGTGAGAACGCAAAACTGGCAACGAAATAATAGATAAATCAATATATTCAGAGCATAGAATAGAAGAAATCAATTGACTTACTCTAATAAAATATCGGGTATGTTGGCAGGAAGAGTCTGTTTGGCTCTATCCACTTCCTCTTCTGTGCAAGTGTTATGATAAGAGAGAATCTCTAGTGCCACTTTATACTTCTGTTCCGATCGACGTATTTTGTCGTACAACTGAAAGCACACTTCATATAATGTCAACATTGTAAGAAGAATGACTCCATAATTTGTCAATATATTAAAGTTTTAACATGGAAAAATTACTTTAAATTAATAATAATTAGTGAATTATTCAAGAATTTTTGTAAAAATAGTCATAAAATCGAATTAATTTTAAATCGTCGTCATTTAATTAGTTCAGGGACTAATCTATAACATTTAACATGCCCATCTTCTCTATCAAATAATGATAGCAAGCAGAAATGTGAAGTCTTAAGCTATAGATTCGTACTGCTAGGCCCTAAACTATGGTATTATTTACCACATAATATTGTTGAAAGACAATAAATTCTTTCTGAAGAATTGCTTGTGAACCTAATAGGTAAATCTTGAACTTAAAGACGCTTATATAGGGGAGACCGGGGCAAGATCGGCATGTTAAGCTTTACTTAAATTTTGTGTAATAAATACTGCTGTAAACTGAAAAAAAAGCTTTGCATATTGTCTATTGAATGTTACCTTACTATAGAACTGGTTAAAATCAGTTTGGAAATAAAAATAATTAAAATAATTACATCTTTACAAGAAGAGAGAAATTGACGAAGTTGCCCCGGGTATAGGGGCAAGATCGGCAACTTCTCTCTTTTTGTAAAGTTGTAATTATTTTAATTATTTTTATTAAAGTTGCCCCTGGTATAGGGGCAACAGTAATGGGGCAAGATAGGCACGTATATAAAATTATGTTATTAACAATGTATAAGTTGGAATTCACTATTAAAACAAAGAAATACAAATCCAACACCCATTTAATATTATTACAACGAAATGCAAGTTCAAAGACATATATACATGAATAACAAATGCAAACATGTTTTCATTTATCATCTGTTTGATTTTTATCCTTTGCTTCTAATGTGGCTTTATGTTGCCGATCTTACCCCGCTAGTCATGATTTCGAAACATTAAGTACAACCCTGAGAACAGAATGCCAAGCCACGATCTGGCCACGTGAATAAGTTGAAGTTACATCCTTCTAACAGGAAAAGTAACTTTCGTTATCATGGAATTATAACAAAACCTGCTAATTCAATATAAATGGAAAGCAAAATATTATATGGAATTGAACGAAAATGAAAATTTGCTTATTAATTCAACTACGCTTTTGGAGAACAATAAAAACACTACACTCAACAAGCCACCAATAAAACTCAACTGCCTAACCTATAACCAAAGTCTTCTTTTAATTTGTTTTTAAAAAAAAGCGCTTGACAAACTTGCCCCGCATGCCGAAGTTGCCCCGGTCTCCCCTATATATGTATATATGTAGTGAAACCTCGATTTAGAGCAAAAAGAATACTTGAGAATGGGTCTACTCCATAAATTATTAAATTTTGCATTGTTATTACCGAAATAAACGACTTTGAAACCTCCAAACTTATGTATAAGACCTCTTTGTATAACTTATTATTCAATAAGCTTCAGTTTAGCGTCAAACACTCGATTTAGTGTCTCAAGACCGAATAAATGTTTGCACTAAACCGAAGTTTGTATGCATATATTGTGTATTTTTATTAAATTTTAGAATTTTTTTAGTTAAAAATCAAATTAATCTCATATTTATCTTTATTCATCATTGACTAAAACACTTTCTAAAGTTTCTGTACTTCGAAGAAGAAGCTTTCTTTCCTTCTCGAAAGTATAAATCCCACAGAAGATGAAGCAAAAAAATATTCAAAGTTTTTATTTTTAGTAAAAATAATAATACTAATATAAGGAAATATCCGTCTTTGTTAATAACCGAAATTTATCCTCAATTTATTATTGAAGTAAACAATTTCCAGGAGGATTAAATAAGAAGGTAGAAGATTACGAGAACGAATTATTTAGCTAAGTAACCTCTTAAGATCTTAAAGAAAATGGCGAAATATAAGAAGAGAAGGAATTAAAGTAATCTAGAGTCAAATAATTCGTACAAAAAAAATAAAATAATAACAAAATAAACATAGAAAAACTTACTTTAGCGTGATGAAGAGCCAATCCGCAGTATGTTGCAAAAGTAGCGAAAGCTTCTTCGTCTATCTTACTGAACGAACCATTTACTTTGTTAACCATCTGAACGACGCCGATAACACTAAAAGAATCGTTTATTTATAAATATATACGTCAATTCGAAAGGCTATTTGATAAAATATGCAGTTTACTTACTGATTACGAATGAAAATGGGCATACAAAGTAAGGATCGGGTTGTGTAACCGGTCAGTTGATCCACGGTTCTATAACGATATTTCTGTTAAAGTTAGTTACATATGTACACATTTTATAGTTCACAGCAGACTCTTGATTATCCGGAATGAACGGGAGGGATGCCATTCTGGTTAATCTGGTGACGTTTGTATCCAGGTAATCTGAAATCTCGTATTGTTTCATTCCTGGAAGTTGAATTCTGCATTGATGAGAGCCAGACTGACCTGTTATTTTTCAAAATAAACGCGAAGAGAATATTACATACAACTGCCTCACTTATAATAAACTGGGACTTTAGCTAAATGTATCATTCCTCTTCTTCCATTAGCCTATAAAGTTATAAAACGATTTATGATAATTAATGGCTCATCCATAAGAATTTTTTGGCATCCCAGTTAATGTGATCCCGGATAATCGAGAGTACGCTGTATATTATTATCATATACATCTTTCGAAATATAAATTTACTAGAGAATGGTTTTAAATAAGCTCAAATAACATTTTTCATAGAGGCATCTTTTCGAATTGCCATCAATTTGCATGCGACCACCCCAATAATGATTTCTGCTTTTTGTAGCCATTTTATCAACATTTTTCTTAATTTATTAGCGCGATATAATCAAAAATTAATTAAAGTTTCACCAATAACGTGTTTCTGGAATAGTTTACGATGCAATACGCGGAGAGAGACTTAATGATGTGAATGAGACTTTCTCTAATTGACACATTTCATGTTGCTAATTGGGGGAATTTCCCAAAACTGTGTTGCTAAAGGATAATGAAGAGAAATTATGAAGTGAGATTTCTGTTTATTAACTAATTCCAATTTTGCAATGTCGAATTGAATCCAGAATGTTTGCATCATTCTTAATTCATTAACCATTATGCAACGTTGTTAAGATGATTATTTTTATTGCTGAATGCCATGCGTTGCAAATCGCATGATTTGTGAAATATTATAAAATTATAAAAATAATTTTTTAATTCATTCTCATAAATTAACAGTTTAGAAAACAATTTAAAATAAAAAAATATATATATTAAATATATACTTGTTTATTTGTAAATAATTGAGAATCTTTCACAAGAGGAGAACATTAAGTTCTGCTCACTCATCGGAAAACTTTGCAATATCAGAACTATGGTTTATTTTGTTCTTTCACTTAAGCTTCCATTAGCAATATTTGCTGTAAGTTACGATCAATAATAGACGATTCCGCTTGGTAATTTTCGAGAGATGCATCTAGAAGTCGAAACGTGTGATAAGGTGCTGTATGGATTTGTACGTGGCAATTTTACTGAGTATCCTAGCAGATTTTTTTTTTAAATGTTTTTACCATTTTTTTTTCTTTTACGAGAGATCAGAATTCAAAACGAATTCAGGAACTTGATATAAAGGTAAAATAAAGTTCAGTTTATAGAAAATTGAGTTACAAATCGTGGGTGAAATTCTTTATGATGAATTTCCTGGATGATTACAGAATCTCGTTTGCTTCGTAACTACAATATTATACAGGGTGGCCCAAAAGTCGGTTGACTGACTTTTGGGCCACCCTGTATAAAAACTTTACATAAAATTATTTTAGACGTATATAGGAAAGTCAGTTAACTGAGATATACTTTAAGAAATATTAAAACCAGTTTGGTACCGTTTAAATTTATGTTTACTTTAATTTAACTATGTACAAATATGTAAACACCTTTATTAAATACCTGTTAAATCTTTTATCGTTATAAGCATCAGAAATGTTTAAAGATTCACCAGTTAAAGCGACGTGCCCGGCTATACCTGTACCCAATGGAAATCTATAGAAGAGAAATTACATGTGAGTCATGGGTTAAAGAATTACACGAATAAATTGATAAAGTAATCTACATTGTCACCTAATTTCCTTGGAAGCTTCGGGTTTAATGTTATTGGTACTATCCTGACTACCGCTAACATCGAATATTCTTGCATACAACTCTTTAGAACGTCCATCGACCAAGAATAAAGATGCTCTATCCGCATTTACAAGTTTCTGAGCGAACATCTACAGTTAAAAATTTAACTTTAATGATGTCTGTTCAAAATTACGTTTGGTTTGCATAAAAAATTAAAGTGAGACGATAGAGAAATTGGCATATGACAACACGTAGCAAAAGGCAGTGACTTTGCGGGACATACAGTGATATCAAGTATTAAGATGTAACAAAGAATAGTGTTGAGAAAGATTAATGACATTCCTTGTTAACATGCGAGAGAGATTATAGGTATCCACATGTTAACATGCAAAGGAGGGCTTTGAAATTAGTGCCAAGCCTTGTTGACGTGTGCCAAAGGATGGCGACTTTGCGAAAGTAATGACATTCCCTGCCACATCTTGCCATATTCCAATTTAAAAATAAAACTCCCTGTTTAATGACGGCTTTTTACAAACAAGCCAAACAAATTATCAGATAATCTATTTACCATTATCTTAACGATGACGGTATCCATGCTGATCATGTCTTGAAAGATCGATCTGATAAACAAACAAATTACGAAACTTGAATCAAGAGGAAGAGAATAAAAGGAGAAGAGAAAGTGGAAAAGTAATCTCACTTGACTACTGTCAGCAGGAAGTTATTCAATTTCCTTTGACGAACCATGTTCGTGTAGAGCTGTGTAATAAAATTCGAAATAAATAATCCTTATGTAGGAATTAATAAATTAATTAATTTAATTCCTCTTAAAAATAATTATCCTATGGGAAATAAATATTTATAAAAATGATACTAAAAATAAAGCTATTAAAGTTTAGTTAATTATTAAAACAAATTGAGAATTATTTATTACAATTATAAGGTTATTACTAATTAATGTAATATAATTATAATTAAACAATCTCGAAATTATCTAATAAATTACAATTAATATAATTAAAAATTTAATTGATTTTTAATGAAAATTTATATAATAATTATTAAAGTATGCATTATTATAATTAAAATAGAAACTGGTCCTGATTAGAGTGAGAGGGGGCCTTTATTCCGGGTCCAGATGCGGAAATGCCCCAAAATTTAGTGTCTTATGTAAGAAACATTATATAAAAGGTTTGACAAAAAATTCTGTTTTTGCTTTTGTCGATTTTATTCGTATATTTTTATGACTTTCGGATAGAGATAAGACCATGATCAATTCAGGCAATAAAAATTTCTGTGGTTCCCCCTTTCCTTGATGGTACACTAAGGACGTGCTTAGGGTACCATCAAGGAAAGAGGAAACCACAGAAATTTTTCATTGCCTGATTTACTATGGACCAAATGGTGTAAAACTGCAAATAGTACAGCAGAACCATGGTTCACAAAAAGGGCCTCCACAATAAATGAAAAGTATTTGCTGGCGAAAAGCATTCCGAGAAATATGATTTTATTTAATGTTTTATTATTGTTTATATTTTGAACTCTATATATAATATATGAGGGCATCAAACTATTTTAAGTGTTTAGGTCCTCTAAGTCTTAACCCGGTCCTTAAGGGCCCATGTTTTGTTAATAGACAGGGCTTCATCTCATCTCTACCTCTTCCTTCCTGATTATTAATTATAATTAATATAAAAACTTTTAAGTGATTTATTAAAAGTAAAAAAAAAATTTAATAAAATTCAAATTTATTCAACAAAATGCTCGACTTTCTTGAGAACATCCATTGATCCTTCTTCACATGAGAAACTTTAAATTCGACTTTTCATACGTTTAATTTATATTAAAATATAAAGATATATAATTACAAAGTTAAAAATAAAGAAATTTAATTAAAATTAATTAAATAAATCACTAAAAATTATAAATTGAAATTAATTTAAATCATACAAAACTCGTACTTACCTCAGCATAATGTAAAGCAATACCACCCCACACTAAATAACTATTAACTATCTAAATGAAAAAAAAATTAAATATAATTAATTTATATTATATTAATGACCTAATTATTCATCACTTTTAACAATTTATGTTAAAAAAAACATTTATATTGATTTCCTATTATTGGTAATTAAAATAAAACATGAGAATTTATGATTATTTATGAATTGCAAAACGAAAATTTGCATTAAATTATAATTAAAAATCAAGTTATATAATCGAAATTATTTTCTGTAATTTGTATTTTGATGAAAATTACATGAAATAATCGTCGTTTGTAATTTACTTTCTGCCAAAATGGCGAATCGATTATCAACTTCAAACAACAACTTCTTAATCACATTTTCCATACGTTTTAATATAATTTTTATGAAGCTTTAGATGAATAGAAGGAAATTTTACATGGATATTTGTTGAGGGTTTTAGGTAAAAAAAATTAATTTTAGTAAGTTAATGAACCATTATTTATTGTGACATCGCCACAATGCCAGGCTGCAATTTTTAATCTACTTAATTTAAAAAATATATATGCTCTCCACCTCAAATTAGTAGTGTTTTGCCCCTGTACATCATACTTTTCCTGTTAACAAAAGAGTCTTGCCTGTCATTTATCTAACACCATTCAGGGGAAACTTTTAACATTGAAATAACGCAATTTCCGGTTAAAACCGAAAGATTTTATATACTTAATCGAGGCTTCTTGTTCCTAATCTTAACATATCTGGTCTCGGCTTAAGCTATCTAACTCTGTTCTCGCGATTAAGGAAGGACAGACAGGCAGACATACAGAATTTTTTCAAATTGCAGCCCAAACAGTTACATATCTACAGACATTAATAATTGAAGATGTTGGATCGACGTTACGCGTAATTCTTTCAAAAAAATCGAGCAACGAGTTGCTTAATTTAACTTTCCAGGCAATAAAGTTAAAATTGTGTGAGGTGTCATCTGCTATGAGATTTTATTTAAGAAATTTCGACGTTTCAAGTTTTCCGAGTCCAAAAATGTAAAAATCTTTGGGGGGTCATTTTAATTTTTTTTTTAGAATTATTTAAAATCTTTAATCAGAAGAAATTCTAAAAGTTCTTTATACATAGAAACATAAAAATATATTATTTTAAACAGTTAAAAATTAACATTTCTGTATCGTTAAAAGTTCAGGAACGTCTCACCTCTTCGTCTTCTTCATAAAATTCATTTTCTTCCTTCCTGTAAAGCTCTAAAACTCCTAAAAAAGATTAGAAAATAGTGTTTTAGAGATTTATTTCATCGAAAAAACTGCGTAAAATAACATATCGAACCTGTCAGTTCTCCGTCAGGTTGCAATATCGGATGGCACAGTACATAAGCAGCATTCTCTCTATCAACTGGTACTCCTTCAGGAAAAAGCGGATTCTGTTACAAAAATCAAATATACTTGATGTAACAGACTTTTCTTTCTTTTAATATTAAAAAAAAATAAATAAATAAAAATCTGATAAGAATCAAGTGATATATTTCTACTTGGTTATCGGTTTTCGTTCGAACGGCTTCTTTGGCATTAGCTACAAAAGCAGCTAACGTGGTACCCGATTGCACTCGTCTAAAAATACAGGTTTTATTGATTACTTTTATAAAAAAAAATCGCATTCTTTATTAATATTTCAAGCTTTACATGAGTATTTATATATACTCACGTGGGATTTCTCACATCCGTCCCGAAGGTGTAGATCTCCTGTGAATGTTAACAAAGGAGGATGAATCACAGAGGGTATTTCATAAAATTAATTTTAAAATGTACATACCTGAGAGCTTTTATCATAAAGGTATAAATTCCAAGAGTCTGCATTCACGGCAGATGCTACAGTTTCTGATAATTCAGATAATACGTGACCCTTATTGGGTTTTAGATAAAGATTGTTGGTCATTTCTTGGAGCATTTTCCTTTTGTCCGCATGGACGCAAAACTAAAATAATAGAATTAAAAGTAAATTAAGTTGGAAATAAGTTCGATTTCCAAATTTCTTGATAAAATTAAGCGAATAAATTAATTTAAATTACCTTCCATCTCGATAGACTTGTTTTTCTCGGTGGTCTGCCTAATTTATAACGATGGTAATCGATAAGTATAATGGTTTTTTTTTTCTGATGGATTTTTCTTAAATTTCTTACCATTTGATACTTCCGCCGATTGTGGTCTTTTATGGTTTCTTTGAGACTTTCTAATAATCCATCTTTCCAATAATTCCAAATCGATATGACTCAATACATAATCTTCTAAAAATTCGAGATTATCTTGAAGAAAGTCTATCACCGCTTTTGGAGTCGCTATTTTAATATAAATACATTAATAATAAGCACTTTCTTTTTAATTAATTATTATATATTTTCTTAATTTTTAAGTAATATTATTTAGACAAGTGATTTATTAAATTTACTTCTAAAAATTTGTCTATAAACAGGAGGCAAATTAGACAATCAGAAAAAATTAAGTGGATTGGATTGATGGGACAAGGCAACGTAACACTTGGACGATTTTCCAACAGGGGTACCATCTCTCGAGGGTGTTTTTATGGGAAACTGGACTCTGTTTGTCTGTTTGTTTGTTAGACACGTGAAAAAACCTGAAAATTCATGTGGCCACCTCGTTGGTCAGGCGCAAACCCACGATCAATTGAATACAATACACACAAATTTGTAAACATTAAAGCAATATTTGTAACAATTTTAATATACTCATATAAAACGCTTATAGATTTGTCAAATAAACGTGATTCACACTGTCTCTAGGAGTATAGAAAAATTTTTTAAAAATGCTTTAGTACTTTTGAGTTAATCAGCTCATCTTCAGAGGCAGCATAAAAAACGAAATTCGAACACATTATAAAATTTACATGCTATGTACAGTACATTATAAAATTTACATGTTACGCTATGACGTATGGAATGCCAATTCCATGATAACATTAAATGGACCAGTCTCATTATAAGTTTAGCGAAGGGTTACTGTACAGTACATTTGCCACTAAGCACTCTGTACTTACAACATGCTCTTACTTTTATGCTTTAGGTACCCATTTCCACGCGTTATGAAGAGTTCTGCGTCCTTCACATTAATTATGTGCTTGTGCAGACCTTCTTTAAAAATCCAAAGCATCTCCCCATCAGCTATTTTCTATTTTTTCTCTATTTTTCTGCAGTTTACGTGCTCTATCCCACTCGTGGCTTAGTGAATAAAAACTATTAAACACTCTGGTAGTTGGCGTGGGTTCGGGCCTCGCCAAAGGGCTGGCCGCGTGGTTTCCCGGCTTTTCTTCACGTGACTAATACCTAACTAGGGGCTAGTTTCCCATTGAAAATCCTTCCGGGAGGCATCCCCCTCGGCAGATCGCCTACTTGTCACGTCGCAGTATAGCTTACAAACAAACTCTCTTCACTTTGTCAAGCTTCCCTTTGCTAATACCATAGTTTTTTACTTTTCTTCACATCTCTGTTCTCTAAGTCTAACACCCGGCAATCTTCGGGTCGCACTTATATAGGATTTATTGTTTTTTTCTTTATCGTATAAAGGGATTTTATAGCTATCGCCTTTTTCTCGTGCTTGGTCTTCTTTTTATCATTCCTTAAACAGTCAAAAAGGGTTAAATTTCTCTTAATGACAATCCTTTCGTTAGTAAGCTTCTCCAGGCATTTACAGAAACCTGCTTTCCAATCCGGTATATAGTGTAATAACACCTTCTGCTTCTCTCTGGTAGTAATCAAGTTCGGTACATTTTTTAAAAGTTATCGAAACAACATCCGCTAAGACCACGCTTATTCGCTACTTCCCATAGGAAGTGGTCCACCAGCGGCTGAGTAAAACCACTGAACATTGGTAGCTGGTCGCGGATTCGCGCCTCGCTAACGAACTGTCCACGTGGAGTTTTCCGAGTTTTCTTTACGTGCCTGACACCTAAATATGGACTAGTTTTTCATATACATATAAATAGAGATCAGTTCTCCATAGAAAATCTTCTCTCCCAGGGCAAATCTCCAACTTGTTGCTTTTTCTTATACTAATCAATCCTGTAGAAAGCGCAATTCTTCTTCCAGATATTCCCAATTAGAGGTTAGATCCAAACCTCTTTTAATTTTAATATAATTTATTAATTATATTAAAAAAGTCTATTAATCCGGCACCACTTTGGTCTCTTAAGCGTCGGATTAACGAACTTCTACAGTACATAAAAATTGATAAATTATGTTATTAAGCACTAAATAACATACCTTACAATATCCATTTCTTATACTTAAATGAATTTTTCATTAATATTAAATAAACATAGCCACATAGCACACCTCTATATAATTATAATACGTGTTGTACGAGTTAACGACAACACTTTATTAAATTTATAAATAAAACACCGTATATAATAGGCTTTTACAAGTGTTTTTATCACTTATTTAATTTTAAAAAATTACTCTGATAAAGATTAGAGATTCGCTAAAATCCTTCTTTTATCTTTTATTAATAATATTAATAAGATAATGTTTAAAATTAAAACAAAAAAAATTAGCATTAAATTTTATGACTAATTAATTTCAATTTATAGTCATTAATATATTTTTAAGCGGTTATTAAGATTAATTAAGATGTTTGTTTCCTAATTATTTATTATGCCTGTAGGGAAGCAAATCGTTTACATAATTTTATAAATTATTATGAAAATTACTAAGAAAAATTAATAGAAATTTGCATTTTATCACATAAAATTATAAAAAAATAAATAAATATATAAAGGAATTAAACGATGTCCGTGCTGTCATGTTAAATTCATAGCAGCAGTCTGGAATAAAAATTTTCTTTTTTCCTACAGCTTTTTTATTTTTTATTTTTTTAATTTTAGGCAACTTTTACACGCACTTTGCGTTAAAATTCACCACGAAACGTTAACACGAAGTACCAAGTTTCATGTTTAGCCTTTTAAAAATGCTTGTAAAGGTGTTAAATTTAGAGCCATAATGCATACTTTCTAACGCTAAATATATTTTAGTGCTCTATTTATTTATTTTTTCAATTTTATAAAAATTCAGTTCGAAATTTAAGCTGAATTTTACATTTTTTAAAAGGCATTTAAGGCTGGTGTAACGAATTTAAGACGTTTAAAAGGCTCTTAAATGTGTAAATTTATGAATTAAAATTTAATTTATTATCTGTAAAAGTATATTTTTTTTAAATCAAAATTAATCAATTTGATAAGTAAAATTGTATTAAACCACCTCCAGAATGGCTTAATTTGCATACGACAACGTCTCATAACGTTAACCAATAGAGAGAGAAGTATCAGGATCGATGGGAAATCGATCCCGGACTCTCCTGGTAACAAGATAGCGAAAGAAGGTTATTGCTATTTTAATCTCACAAAAGATTATTCTTTGTGATGATATTCATAAAATTTTACAGCTTTATGGCTCCGATACGTTATAATTTTTTCTTTTACAGAAGTGATTTATGTAATATTTTTAAGACTTTTCTTCTTAAAAATCCAATTTCCTTTACAATCATTTTAAAATGTTTTAATGTAATGCCTGCACATTTAAAGAAAGGAATAATCAAATGTAATAATCTGCTACGTAGATAGGAGTGGCCCAAAAGTTAGTTAACAGTGCGATTTTACACGCAATTCGTAAAGTTTTCAAGCGATTAAGTATTCGAACAAGACAGCAATTTAGTCTTTAGAATAGTTAACTGACTTTTGGGCCATCTAGTATGCCTATATATAAAGACAATCGAATTTTTCATTAAGGAATTGTTTTTCTCAACATCGATGCTGATCAATAGCTGAAGATTATGTGTTTAATAATCTTTGTCAGATCCATTTTCTTTTCATTTCGATAGAAAGTATCCGACTCAGATGATATTTCATACGTTTCACTGTAGTTAGAAGATTTATAGATAGATTATTATAGAAAATAAATAAAAACATAGAAGAAAATGATATCACGTTGCTTCACTTTCATAAAGCAACCATGAGTAATCATAAAGCAATCATCAAGAAAAACTGTAAAAATCTCTTTAAATTAAACGTTTAAAATCACTCGATTAGAAAAAAATAATAATAATAAAGAGTAAATTATAAAAATAAGGGCTTTTTCTGTATGTATGGATGTTAGTGTGTGTGTGTGGGGGGGAGGCACGATTTTGTTTACCTTGTTTGAAGCTTAATAACTCCTGTGCTTTTTCTCAAAAATTTCTGAAATTTTGCTGGAAGGTTTGTGTATTATGAAGATTGATGCTATTAAATTTTGGTGGTTAATTAAAGGTCGAGGGAGTGGGGAGATAAAGTGGACGTGTGACTTAATGACGATTTTACTCGTTATTACCATTTACAATTTTTTTAAAATAAAATCCATCCCTACACTCAAAATTAAGCCTTTTGCCATTTTATAATAATTAAAAATATAAAAAGTTTTTAAAAATAAAATATTATAACAGATGGAGCCACCAAAATTTTAAATGTCGCCGGGAAAGTTAATCAATTCGTTGCTAGGTTTTTTGTGTAGATAATAATATAACTTATTAATATGTATATAATAAAACTGTTTAGAGAAAACAGTAAATACTAATAGAAAAATTTAATTTAAGCAGAAAGAAATTATTAATATAATTAAATTATTCAAAATTCCATCCATATTGTAGGTTAACTGGAATGTTTTGTAATCAGATGATTTCAAAAAAAGTATTGTCAGTAAGGTTTTCAAGGTAAAGGTTAGTTTTTCAATAATTCCTCACTGAAAATACCAGAATGATTTTAAATATAATATAATAGTTTATACTATAATTTAATAAAGATAAATGCCAAATATCAATAGACATAATTTGATTTACATATGATCAAATAAACTATATCAATAGTTACGTGAGACAGTTACTTTCAATTACATAAAGTTGTTTGCATCTTAACAGATGCTATTGAAACAGAAATACAGTATATCAAATTTGATATCATCTTAAAGAAATTTCATTAAGTATTAAGTATGTTGATTTATTGTCAATAAATGCTTTATTTTGCATTAAACTGAGCTTTAAACATTAACTTTTTATTTCCAGTGATGTACAGTTCAGGAGCGAGATGCTGCAAGATAATTTGACACGATTTAAATGTTATTACCTAACTTACTTTAAAAGTTTGGAAAATAAAGAATAAAACTTAAGTGTGGTTAATTAATAGCTTTTTAAATTTATAAAGGTTTAAAAAAGTTATAAGAATTTAT